TACGTTTAACTTATATTGACTTGCAGTACTATGTGCAATTGATTTCGAACTTGGGTTGACCATAGCAGCTATCCCCATAGAAAATGCATTGGAATCTTGCAAACCATTTGCTCAGGATGAAGCGACTGCACGCATCGACAACTGTGGCCAAACCAGATAGGATGCATCGCTCCAAATGGGGTGTCAATGCCCTCAAGGCACATCATGTCAAGGCATGTCAGACGGCATGTCACGGCTATCACGGCCCCGTCTGAGCTGTGAACTTTGGTTTTTCTGTACTAAAAGTGTACAGAAGGCTGGCAGATGGCTGGCAAGGCTGACAAGCTCCTTCGCATTGTGTGATATTGTGTAATTGATTTCAGAAAACATTGGCCCATGAGCTGCACATAGCTGCACTGTTTAAATATGTCTGAACTCAGGGGATTCTCAGTATTCTCTCAGTGGCTCAGGGGCATGGAGAATGTTACTCTCAAGGCTCAAGCAACAGCTGTTTTTTCCCAGGACACACTGTTGGCGACTTGGACATCTGACAAAGCAACATGGGACCAAGCGTTTTCAATACAGAGGTAGGTAGCTTGTTCGAGAGTATATTTACATGCATTTACAAGATTTGATATCTTGTAAATTATGTACACAGCTCAATGCAGCTTTCTCAAGACCCTCACTCGAATGAGTTGTAATGGGCAATGGCACGTCCCCCCTGGCATTTTTGGCTGGAACCTTGGTTGTTGCTGTGGAAGAGTATAGCCTGTAGATTTTTGGTGGAATCTTCATTTTCCACACATCTTAGGATTTGTAATGCCTCCTTTGAGTAAGAGAGAGATTCTGAGTGTGGATGCGCAACCTATGGCGAGATCACTTGGTCAGATGGCTCAAAGGTTCTGACCATTTTGCTGAAGGCAACGCACTTGGATTGCACTGGACAATGTGCGCACTGTTTGAGACTCCCGGGCGCATCACAAAGATTTTTTCTGACTGTAATTACTGCAAATGGAGAGCTATGAAGGTGCCCCTTGCTGTATGGCTATAGAAAGGAACTAGGGGGCATGAATTCAGGCGCACTGTTGCTTTCATTGTAAAATAATGTAAAAGAAACACAAGATGGACAGGGCTATCACGGAAGAGTACCACAAAAAATGGATTGGCAAAGAAACACACTGCCGAAACTCCCAGATTTGGATCAAAAGGCAATTTCACTCTGATGGACAGGGGCATCAAGACTTTGAGACTAAAACGAACCTCAATTCATACCTGAGTCATGCCAACCCTTGTGTTGGGAACACGCCATTTAAATCTACTTGATATGACTGGACAATTTGCGAGTTGTGGTACAGTAATCCCAGTAGGAATGCTTGACAACTTTGAAATACTTTCAAGATCACATTGTTGAAGGACTGTAACAAAAACGGCCTTAAACAAAGCTTCCTTCAACAAATTTTGGGACAAGTCATTGGCTCCGCCTTCATTTCAGCTTTGCCATCGCTGAGATCACCTCCCAACAAACAGTGGACATATGCAGTGGTCCAACCCACCTTCGAGAGCGACCCTCAGTTACCAAATCTGGTTTGCGTTCGAGTATTGGCTTGCCAAGACACGCATGTGTTTCAGGCTACACCAAAAACCACACCGAAAGAAACGAAAGCTACACCAAGGCTGCAGGTTGTGCTCCAGAAGAAGAGGCATCGTTCCACTGATCAACTTGAAAGCAGTTGACTGATTCTTTCGAGGGGCTGAGTCAAACACACAAAATCAATCCATTCACACTCCATTCACCATTTGATTCCGCAAGGTGATCGAATGCAACTCTGAAGGCAAGTACTGCTACATCTATGACGTGGGGATGCCCAGGGAGTGGTGACAATAAGCCCATGCTCTGGGTGCTTTGCAAGTTGACCATGCGATGATAGTGACTATAGTGGCAATGGCAACATTTGTGAGGCGCTGCTCCCATTTTGCCCGCAGCACGAAACTTTCTTTGACAGCCCCTTCGGGGCTATTCGAGCAGAAGGCGGGCAGCGAAGGAAAGAAGAACAGAATCCACTTCCATAATTCTTCTGGGCATATCCAGTCGAATCCAGTCATCAGCTTTGGGGAATTGACTTCGGACATTTTTGGACTCTTCGTTCGGTAGATAAAAGGCCGCGCATGATCCGATTGGACAATGTGTGCGTGAGCCACAAGGGCATTCACACAAACCCAAAGCTGTGGCACTTGTGTCTTGTGGCATTCAAAACTGGATATTGTCCTTTTTGTTATCTTACCTGTTCTTGGACAAAAGTGCACAATCGTCTGGATGCCTCTTGTATAATTACATATGTCGGGTATATATAATTATATATATTAATATATATATAATTATATATATTAATATATATATATAATTATATATATATGTTTATATATACATGAATTATAAAAGTACTCAAACATTGGCTGAATTTGTTTTGCTGCAAGAGAGAGAGAGGCCCTCCCACTTGTACTACTACGACCACTGGAACTTTCACAGTGCCTCACTTCAGTATTGCTGATGACCGCATGATGCACTATCACAAATAGGCTTCTGTGGCTTTCACGACTGATCTGTTTGGCGAGTAGCAGGAAGTCAGGCTTATATGTTTGGTTTGGTTGCTCAATCTTTATCTTTTTGCTTCTTTACTCAACACAGCAACCAAAATGGCAGCACAAACAGGTTTTGCCCAAGAGCCAAGGTGACCACAACTTACACGAGGACAGATCGGTCCTTGGGAATCATGCGACCTCAAGTTTTTGCAAGGTTTACATTGATTCATGTACACGACCTACTCATGTCTGTACTCAGGCAACCGTCTTTACAAGCACTCGAGGACAGGCAATTGAGTGTAGCTTGAACCTCAGATCGACAGGCATTGCTTAGGATCATCTAGCAGGGATTGGCTCTCCATGCATCCGTAGCATTTCGATCAGACCTGCACAGCAAAGGAGACTTTTGCTACGAGAACACGCATCCGTGGATTGTCAAATGTGGTTGGTCAGTGTGCGCTTCCTGCCAAGCTCCTAGTATTTTCAGCGTACCCAATTTCCTCCAATTTTCATAATTGCGCAGTTGCAAGAAATTTCAACCGTTATCCGTTTGATCTTGAGGTGGAGAGTGTGCCGCCATACTGCTTCCCAGCACTTCACAAGCGACTTCGTGAAAGACTTGTGGACAAGTTGACAGCTGACGTACAGCGTTGCAACAAGACCGTAGGATTGTGTTTTCTATACATGGCAGATGTATGTGTTACCCCGGCAGTCAGATTTTAACATGTTTTAACTGTCTAAATCGTCAAGCTTTGAGGATGACATGGGCTCGGGGCCGATTCTTTTGGTCCAGTGGACTCTTTTGTTATTTTCACTTCAAGAGGCATGTGCAATGATGAGGTCTGGTCAAGAGGGGATGTTCACTACCAGGCCACCTAAATTGTGAACGTTGTCCGCAAGACTGGCTTTGTCCAGCCTTGAGATTCTCACGGGAATCGAGATATGATTAACTGTCGAAGCTTGCAGAATCTGTTGAGGCACGCCAATCGTAAAAGCGAAAGCGCGGTCAAGTAAGCAGGTCGTACAATGATACAGCAATGGCAAACAGAAGGAAACCTGTAGCCACCCTGCGCCCCCATGAAAGCGCGAACCACCCAAATCATGAAATATGCAAAGCCAACTGACTGAAGCTTTGGAAACGCGCCTTGTTTGCATTACATGCAGTACTTGGATTAGGATGTGATGGCATTGTAGTCATTCAGATTCATTTGCAGCAGTGCTGATCACATTTCTGGCAAGGGGAGCAATGCAAAGACAAATCAACGAAGTGCAACTTCAGTTTTCCACATTGCCATTTATCTTTTCATGTCTTTTGTAGATTTGATCAGGCCAGTTCGAAGAAACACTACACTGCCTCCCACAACGTCTGCAGCCTCTGGTGGTCAGTCAGGCCGGAAGTAAGTTCAAGCTGCAGAGCTGACACCATTCATTTCTGTGAACCATGCAGGTGGTTCTGGATCGGGAGGTGGGGGGGTGCCAGCAGACACCTTAGTCCACAAAAGGTCCGGTGTCCGGTACCCATCACAGTCTTCGAGCCTTTCAGGTGAGGAATCCTCAGCTGAGGTATACAAGTCGGACGGATCCCTGGAAGAGGCCGCACAGAGCGACCAGACCACCGTCCAAGGAGAGTTGCGGACTCAGACTCGGACGTCTCAAGTCTAAAGCAGGATGTTGAGCGTCGTGCGAATGTTGCTTCAATGTATATAGAATCTACATTGCAGATAGAGCCGGATTTCTTTCTTTGATGAATACATTATAATTATCACTCCGTCACAAGCAGATGTTTTTTCTTCAGCTCACGATTTGGGTGAGGGCCACCACTTCTCAAGAACTCCAGTCAAAGGCTTGTTTGAAGCTGTGTTGGCCCCAGCATCTTTCAAATCAAAGCAATGCTTAAGCTTCCACGACTCATGTCATATTGCACTTGAGGTGCGCCGACGCACAGAACTACATACCTTGGGAACAACTATGTCAACATCCCAAATCTGCACGATTTTGCACACCTATTTCAACATGAGTTGGCGCAGTCGCCTGAACCTGCTTGGCATTTGCTTGTCATTTGTTGGACTTGCCCAGTGAAGCTGAGGCAGCTGGGCCACCTGCGTCCTCTGCCCCGAATGTTCAGGTCCTTTTCTCAGGGCTGAAAGGAGCTGAACAGTTACACTTGGCATCACTTTGCCACTTTGCCTTTTCAAAAGTGTTGCTTGACGGCAAACGAAACAGCAATCTCATGTATGTAATGTCAGAGAATGTCAGAGAGACGACAAGCTGTGGGGTCCTATTCACCCCCGCTGTGGTATACCTATAGAAGTAAGCAGATAATGGACTGTAGAGAATGTAAATGCAATGCAATGGGCGTGGTACGGTCTGGTCTGGCATGGCGCTTTTGTATGTATATTGTATGTATAGTAATGTATGATGTGTAGTAATGTAGGTAATGTAGCAATGAAATAATGTAGTACGTAAGAATGATGTAGTAGTGCACGCAATGTACGGAATGGATGCACTATATGTATCTATATGTAATATATGTATGTAAGCAGGTAATGTATGGTAATGTAGAAAGGAAGGAAGGTAACGTAGTAATTAATAATGTACGCAGTATGGCAGTGTTGTAGTGTATGCATATGCGATAATAGTTGTGTATTAAAGAAACGTATATTGTAATTTGTAATATTTGTAATGTAATCAAAGGAAGTTGGGAAGCAACCTTCCGAGTTGCGGACAAATACATTTGTGTGACTGGAATAGCAATAACAATACATACATAACACGATACATAACAAAACAAGGACTTGTGTTGGGGAGGATTTTTTCGTGTAAAGTGGCTGCAGCCGGCGATGAAGGGCAGCTCCTGTGTGACGCGGTTGCGGCTTGGGTCGTTTTGACCTGTGATTGGTTCCTCTATGGTGTTCTGCAACGTGCGGTTGCAAATCGCATTGTACAGGCTGCATGAATGTTGCATGGGACTTGTGTTGGGAAGGATGCCGGAGCGTGAAGAGTGCAGTGTGAAGTGTGAAGTGCGACCTTGAGACCGCAAGGTGTCGCTTGGTGTTGCATTGCAACGTGAGTCTCTGCGTGTCATGACCAATGATCATTGACAAAAACAGTGCAACAGGTTCGCACAAAGCACGCACGCACGGGCCTGGTTGGCGCACAGCACAAGCTCTATAGATGAAAAAGGTCTTATAGTATATAAATATAGAACCCTAAGGCAACTTTCGCCTCGCTTCGTGCGGGTACTACTGGTAATGTAGTGTAGTGTGATGTCTTGTAATGGCATGATTTGTATATAACGTAGCAATGTATGTAACGTAGTATATAGATGTATATAGTGATATATAGTGTATATGTAACATAATGTGACGTGATGCGACGTAATGTAGTGTAATAAAATACTTGTATGGTGCAGTGCAATGTAGCGTATTGTATGCATGTACGTAATATATGTGCAGCATCAGACCATGCAATCTCTCTATGGAAACAACTTTCAGGCACCAGCGTGACTGTGACTTCGTCGACGATGCCTCCAATTGTGACTTTCACCTTCTCCACAACAGTGGTTTCAGCTGCAATCTCAAACCAAGCGGGCGCAATTGCACAGAGTTGCCAGCCTCGTCTTTCATTTGCTTCCATTCAAGTCACTGAAGAATAGTCGGAGCCGACACTTTGAGCATAGAATGCACAATAAGAGCAAGGCACAACTATTAACAACTGAGTCAGTGGGAAGTCTCCATGTCCAGTAGAATTACAGCAAACTTGGGGATTGCCTCTTGAAAGGTGCATGATTGACCATAGTTCGAGGTAACAAGTCAATTCACCACAAGCAGTACTGTTGGCGACTTAGCATTGCAATTGGAAAGGTGGCATTCTCCACCCGTGTCATTCTAAGGCTGTGTGTGTGTGCAACTGTGTGCAAGTGTGCAGAGACTTTTTTGCTGTTCTACCAAGACCAAATCTACCACTATCACGCGTTCAACGACACTTACAGCTGCTGGGCGTGCACATTTAGCTGCCGTTCTTTGAAGAGTTTTGCATCGTAAGCTCGATTTTCTGGGCCAAACCGTGTGCATGGGCCGAGACGACCAACACAGCGACGATCACATCGACCACGACTGACAGGCAGGATCAAATGAGCCTTTGATATAATATACATTGTTATTATAATTGTAATCATTGCTACACACTGTTATAATCTGTTATACCATTTGTTATCAGTTTTTTTGCAGCAAGCAAATGAAAATGACAGCCCCAATGAAGTGGGGTGTTGAGTCTCTGATAGAGTTTGACAGCGCCGTGGCAGGGCATGTGCACCTCCGACACCAGCGCTGGCCGACATAATGGCGACTGAGGAGAGCATCCCAGGGACCCAAAGCGGCTACGGATGGCTTGACCAGTTTTGCATGGTATCGCGAGAGTCTCATTTGATCGTTAATCTACTTGACTTGTTTTCAACCTTCTATGTGTGACACGGATCTCACACTCGCAGAGTCGAGAAAAAGCTGCAGGAATGCAAGGGTAACCTTAGTCCTCGACCTTAGAGATGTTTTTTTTGAAACAAACACTCCTTGGAAGTCTTGTGATGTCCAGGGTGACTTCTTTGAGCTTTGGGTTGGCATTGGAGCTTGTAACAGGGAAATGAGTTGTGGACAGATGGTTCGGAAGGTGAGAGGTGAGCAGAGGTGTAAGTCCGGAGGACATGTTCGCAACTTGAAAAGGACAAGTGGAAGCCCAGGACTCATTTCAGTTGTCCTATAGATATTGGATTTGTGGAAAATCGCTTGTATTTCCCTGAGAATCTCCACCTAGAGTTAAAATAAAGTGAGATGCAAAGTCCTGGAACTCCAAGATTTATCACACTTGCAGTGTTCTCTTCAATCCTTCCTTTCTTCTTTTGCTCAAAACATAAACACTTTCAGGTGCTGGAGACTTTTGCGTTGCCGGGAGCTTATATATTTGGCAAATTTGGAGAACCTCGAAGGCTCACCAAACCTTTGCCAGGTCTGCCTTGGCTAAGTCTTTTGTGAAATCCACAGCGCTTTTCAGGCTATTCAGGCTATATATATTCATAGACATTCACAGCTAGGGATCCAACAGCGTTTGTGCTCAGCTTTAGGCTCAACTGGCTGAACATCCTTGCCTGTATTCTGGTGATTTGATTCTGCAGTGCCCAAAGTGGGGTCTCTTACTGACATCACAGCATCATGTTGCTTGCACACAGACAGTTGACTAATGTGGCCTGTCCAAGAATTCTGATAATCTTTTGTCCTGTTTGTTCTGCAGTTGATGCCCTTCTGGCAGGAACAACATTCTGCACCGTGAGTCAGAGCTGCTGCACATGGCTCAATGTAAATGGTTCAACTGGTTCAAGAGAAAGCATTTCAGCCTGCTAAGCAGCCTTCCTGCAGTTTTCCTCTTTCGGCCGCTAGTCGTGTGCCTTTTTGGCTTTCTTTCTGCCTTAGCGGCGGTTCTTTTTTCGGGCGCCCGCGGTGGTTCCCAACCGCTGAGAATATGTTGAACCACCAATTTTATTGCTGTTTGATGAGGGGGGAAGCATTTCAGATGGTTCGAACACAACGTCAGATACGGAACATACTATATATATATAAACAAGACAGAGGACTTGTAGGAGTACTTCTAACTTCTGGTGTTTTACAGTGTCATCTTGGAATCGCAGAGCTTGCTGAGGAGTGGGGATTACCAGTCGAAGCTCGAAGCCAAGACCCAACCCTCTGGATTTGTGAAGTTACAAATAGACATGGTCAAGCCTTAGCTTGTCATTCCCACATTGCAAACGGACGAAACAATGCTGCTTGCTGCAGCTTGCTTGTCCGTTTGTCAAACTATATTGGTGTATCATGGTGCATCCAGAGTGACTCTTGGAAGTAACCACGACTTGGACATGAGCCTCAAGTGTTACTTTTTTCTTCCAAGGGTGTCTAATGATGCCTTCCTTCAAAGATAAAATGTGTGCTTTGGTGTTGTTTTTCGCTTTTTCTGCTGGTCCCATGCCTGGATGCGTGAGGTGCAGACTCTGCGGCTGGGGCAAGACAGACTGGGAAGATACTGATCCTGTTGGGGGCATCAAGCTCAGGGTGTGTAAGTGGAACAAAGAAATGCAGAAAATATCACCAACGATCTTGACTTGGCATGACTTGGCACATTTTGGAACCACTTAGAGTGTTTCTGAACACAGCACTTGTTGTTCTCTTGAAGTGCTGCGCCAAGGGAAAATGACAGTGAGTTTGGAGCTGAAGATGAATACTTGAGGGACTTGAGGAATCTTCACATCTTATGCGGGACTCTTTTTGTACCAGTTTTGCGATCCAGTTGTAGAGGGTTAAGAAACTTCCCAGGCTGCAAACAAGTGGACCTCTCATTCATTGTGAGCATCAAAGACTAACGCAACCGCTCAGTTACGCACCACTAACCCAGCCCCTCAAACATTGTAACTCTGCAGGTTTTCGTGGTTATTCTGGTAAGGTATGGTATTTTGAGATATTTTGAGCACGTGCGCAAACACTCCTTTTTTTCTTTGTTTTGGCTCCGGTCCTTGCATGAGATTGTAGGGAGAACATGCAAGAACTAGGTACCAGTTCAGGTGTGTGGTGGTACAGCAAGTTACCCAGCTCGATTAATCTACTGTAGTCAATAATCGTCAATAAACCACCAATCATAACCAATGATGACCAATTAGAATCACGCATGGCTATGCATAACTGCATAACTAATCATAATCAATAATCATTCCTCCAACCAATCAACCAATCACCGAATCTCTCAACCAGGACCATGTGTTCCGAAGAACACATATCACGAAAGGTAGCCTAGGCTACCTGAGTTCTATGTATACTTTAGTACTATTTTAGTATTGGGGGAGGTGGTTGGCCCTTTCCTGGAAATTGACGGCTGGAAGTAAGGAATCTCCACATAAGGGGGGGGCCTCCCCCGTACGTTCGACACTTGGAGGCTATATCGCAAGCCAAGAGGCTATGGATCAATACTAATCAAAAGGCAGCGAAGCAAACCATAGGCGCAAAATGGACGCAACTGATTCCGCCTGCTTCGGGCCGTAATAAGCTTTCCAGAAAGACATGCCGATGAAGCCGCTGGAACCCCTGGCGCCGATCAGGCCAATTGAGCCGATGAGGCCGATGGAGCCGCTGAGGCCGATGGAGCCGATGAGGCCGATGAGGCCGCTTGAGCCGATGAGGCCGATGGAGCCGCTGGAGCCGATGAGGCCGATGAAGCCGATGAGGCCGATGGAGCCGATGAGGCCGATGAGGCCGATGGAGCTGATGAGGCCGATGATGAGGCCGATGGAGCCGCTGGAGCCGATGGAGCCGATGAGGCCGATGAGGCCGATGGAGCCGATGAGGCCGATGATGAGGCCGATGGAGCCGCTGGAGCCGATGGAGCCGATGAGGCCGATGGAGCCGATGAGGCCGATGATGAGGCCGATGGAGCCGCTGGAGCCGATGGAGCCGATGAGGCCGATGAGGCCGATGGAGCCGATGAGGCCGATGATGAGGCCGATGATGAGGCCGATGGAGCCGCTGGAGCCGATGGAGCCGATGAGGCCAATGGAGCCGCTGGAGCCGATGAGGCCGATGAGGCCGATGAAGCCGATGAGGCCCCTCCGGGGAGGGGCCACCTTCGGGTGGCGGGAATTGACCTGATATAAATATCTCCGGGTGGCATTTACCCTGAGTGCCACTGACTCCTCTGGAGAATTCTGGGGAGATGCTCTTTGCAGCGTCGGCGCGGCGTTGGGGATGAGCCGCGTTTATGCAGTTTGTTTTCAAGATGGTCATCGCCAGTCCTTCTCCTTGTGGCCCGCTGGCTTGAAGGCTCCATCTTTTGTAGAGTGATGGGCATACTTTGATGTTTGGACGTTCGGGCAGAGACGTCGCTGGTGAACGCTACTGGGTAGAGTTCCTCTCATCGCAGAGTTCTCGCTTTGGTTGCTTTCCCATGCAGCTTTTCGGGACTTGATGGCCATTCTGCTAGCTTTATCCTCGAGATCGGGAGGACCCTTCTTGCAGCCATCATCTCATGCCGATCGTGTACAGTCCCCTTCTTGTGGCAGAAGGGCGTTCGGATGTTTTGTTTCGTGACTGTGCAGCTGGGGACGCCACTTACCACTATGGCTTCGCAGTCCTGGCCTTTTTCGGCCTCCTGGGCACTTGTGGTGTGGTGTGGATTGATCGACTTGGTTCAGAGACTCGTTGAACTTCACACTTCCGAACTGGCGTCTGGGAACTTCATATCATTTTTGGTGTTGGCTTCCCTTTGCTTTGCATTTTGCAAGGCTTTGCGCCTTGCAAGGGAGCCCAATGTACTGTGGACCGAACCTGCACCTCCTCTCTGAGATCAACGTTTGCAAGTTTGGTGGTTTCCTGCAGTGCGGGGCTGCTGCGGCCTGCTTGACCCCTTGTCCACTCGCCCCGGTGTCGGACTCGGCTGTCTGCTGCAACTCTGCACAGTTTGGATCACCTGCCTCCTGATTGTCTTGGACTACTTGCGGTCATTTGTGATGATGCAGCTCTCCAGCATGGGGCTGTGTTTTTCAGGAGTTTTGGGTTGACTGATTCGAGTGTGACACTGCTCTGCAGATGTCCTTGGGTCAGCGATCCTTCACCCATAGGTGAAAATTGGATCAAGATGAAGCCGATGAGGCCGATGGAGCCGATGAGGCCGATGAGGCCGATGGAGCCGATGAGGCCGATGGAGCCGATGAGGCCGCTCGAGCCGATGACACCGATGGAGCCGATGCAGGTCGATGGAGCCGCTGGAGCCGTTGAGGCCGATGGAGCCGATGAGGCCGATGGAGCCGCTGGAGCCAATGAGGCCGATGAGGCCGATGGAGCCGAGCCGATGAGGCCGATGGAGCCGATGAGGCCGATGGACAGGCCGATGGACCAGGTGCGCCACAATGCAAAGCACCCATGCTCTGAAAGTGGCGCTTGGCGCCGGAGATAAATCCTATGCAGCATTGCCAGTAAAGAGAGTTGCAGGTTACAGCTACATGTATCGAGACACCTTAACCCATTCCACCCTGCCTACATGCACAAGAAGTGGTGCCGCAAAATCGACGCCAATCGTCAATGGCACGGGCCTCCCCCCCACCCTTCGATTCCTCCCTGGCCCGGCGCAGCCACGCATATTGTTGGCTCCGCTGCTAGCCTCAAGTGATAAGTTTCTGGATACGGCTTAATGTATCGCCATTGCGGCTCCCAGTTGAAGCACAGTATGTTCTAGATGTGCAGTTCACAAGCAGAAAATCGCCTCGAACTCTCAGTCTCAGATAGCCTATTGCTTGGCCACTGTTGACGGCTTCACCCAGGAGCGCCGACCCCATCTCAATGCGCAAGCATTAGACCCTGCGAGCCCTAGTTCAAGCGTGCCCAGGGTGCTCTGAAGGTCTGCATGGGTTCAGGTTGCGCGTGCCCGACTGAGTTGACGCGCGCGATCTTCTGCAGCGACGTTCTGTCACTGACTAGCGCTTACTATCCGGATCGGTTGGTGCCCACACTGGCAGGGAACAAGCTGCGTTAGAATCTCCTAGATATGGGTTACTGTATTGTCATTTCCTGGAAGGGAAGGAAGGAAGGAAGGAAGGAAGGAAGGAAGGAAGACTTGCGTGTGCAACAGTTTTCCTATTTACTTCAACCTCTTCTGATACCCCTCAGCGCACGCGCGTCCTGTTTCACCCAGCACGCATGCGATTCCAATCCATGTACGTTGCGTTCTAGACTCATGACAGAAGAAAGTCCATTGCAATGGCTGTTTGCACCTGCCTACTGTGATACTGTTGCCATGGCATTTTTTTCTGCTCCAGAAGCAATTCGGTGCTCTACGCATATCACAGACACGCAGCTGAGCTCCGTGCTCCAACTGGAATACTTTACGAGACCACTCGATGTTCTTCACAGGTCATGGACAGTGCTCATGTTAGATAAGAAAACAAGAGCAGTATGTCCCTTCGCAGCGACACTTATCCCTGAGCCACAAGCCTTTTAATAGTTCCCACGAAACAAAGACGGTTTCGTCTCCTGCAATTCTTGATGTTGCTTTTGCTTCAGACATCCTCACGCACTTAGCCGCATGAAGGTTACATCCCTAAAGACCTATCCCTACACGCAAAGTGCCTCAACCGAGCGTCCATCAGTTGAGGCACCTTGGCCCCTCTAATCCACATAGCTGGTCAGCAAACTGATTAACATTATCTTGCTTGTGGTTCTTATTACTGACTATGGCACAGGGTGGGTGGAATTTAGATATTGAGACAAGATGCATGCAAGAAGTTGTTGATGCCGGGGAAGTTCGGATATTGCAACAACGAAAACGTAACAAGTGGTGGAGAGGTCAATGGGGGAAGTCTACGTATGAAGCGAAATGGATGCAGGAAATTGAGAGGCACCTAGGGGGAAGGGAAAGTTCGATGTTGACACAGGATGAGCGCAAAAAATTGTTGAGGGATATGCCCCCACCTACCTTTCGCTCCCCCCCTCTCAAGTTTTTTAAAATTAACCTTTGAAAACTTCAGCCCCGGCACCGTTGTTGGTTGATGATGGCTAATCGGTTTGGACCTCGTGCTTGCCTCGCGGAATACCTGACTTATATACCCTCCCTTCTAGGTCTCGAATTCGGCGCGAATGCGTCTGATGCTTGGCATGTCTGACTTGAACCATCTTGAACCTTGAGAATTCAGAGTCATCTCCAGATTTGTGATTTATCGCCGCGCAATTGCTGGATTTCCAGAGTCAAGTGTCACAAGGTTACTTGGCATGATCAATGAGAGTGTCATCTTTGGGTATGGAATTTTCTTGGCGGACAACTGCAGCAGGCATCGATCTGCAAGCAATGACAAGTCGCACAATCCCCACATTGTCGCTTTTCCTGGTGTGTAGGCCGTTGAAGCGAGATCTGATCGGATATGTCCCCAAGATGTTTGTTTCCTAGAATGATCAGAACTGCTGCGCAAATACATTGAACCTGAAACCTGAAGCCGATTGAAACTTCCCTCAAAGGGAAACGGTGACTGGACTGTGACCGCCGGCTGAGGGATCCCTATCCACATGATGAAAGGTGCTGCACACCGTGCGGCGCTAAAAGCCTCGAAGATTTGTCAACGATTCGAGCAACGATTCAATCCTAAAATTCTCCGGGTCCGGGCTCTTTGACTCCACAGAACACAATAGCGAAGAATAGCGAAGAATAGCGAAGAATAGCGAAGAATAGCGAAGAATGGTGAATGTGAAGAGATGTGAAGAGGTATGCTGACAGCAAGTCTGGCAGGGACAGGTCCAATCAGCTTCGCAACAGCGGCAACCGGCCCTGTCAGCAACAGGAAGACACTTCACGGATCTTCATACGGGGTGTATCTGAAGATCCATGGCACTAATTAACATAATTAACAAATAAGTAGTTTGCAAGAAATGAGCCAGAAAACTGTGAGAAGAATGTATGTTTATGATTATCCAATATTCTCTACCTATGTATCTCTATGTAGATTTACTTGCATGTCTATTTGTATATATTTTTGTACTATGGTGTTTGCAACTTCTATCAAACTTAGAGAGAACACTTTGACTTTTCACAGCACGACTCAGGCTGCGACTAGGTGCAGACATGCACAAGTAAGATCAAAGTCCTCACCGCTGCATACTGGCAATGCGAATGACCCGCAAATGTGAGATTGCAAAACAGCATTCGAAGTAACATACCACATATATTCTCGTCATGTGTAGGATACATGCCCTTTTCATCCTTTTTCGCTTTCTCAACGTAGCGGATTTTTCGATCCTGCACACTTGCCACATACGCATATAATGCTGCATGCAAGTATGTACGTCATGAGATTTCCAGCATACAGCATACATGTATAATAATGTATAATATAATATATATATATTATGTACTAGACCATACATGACAATACAATGCAATATCAAAGTGCCAAAGCATAACTACTCAAAAATCCGGGGATCTTTGCACTCAGGAATGCCTACAGTACAACTGTCTCGCATCGTTCTCAGATATTCCCGCTGCTTAATTTGTGTGTGAGAAATCGAAGAGCATACATTTTGACCGGATCAGCAGTGTTTCGTTTGAACAATATGCCGCTACAGGTTTGATGTGCCTCCAGGCTACTACAGCGTTATGCTGATGGCTTGCGCCTTACTCATTCTGACCTACTTTAGCTTGATATTTGAAGTTTCAGGTCCGGACAGCTGATGTCTTAGTTGTCAAGATTGCTTAATCGCTTGCAGATACGACCCAACACATCCTTGGGCTTCTTGCCCTTGGGTGAAGTCACAGCAGCGCCAATCTTATGACTGGTAAGGCCACTGGTAATCACTGTGGTAATCACTGGCAATCTCAAAATTTGGCCTTTTCCTGGAGCTTCAAGTGCTTGTCAGGTGTTTCAAGTGTTTCTTGTCGCTGGATCCCCTGAGGAAATTTTAGATGTGAATCAGACGAAAGCAGGCATCGCTGGTGCAACGAGGCAACCTGCGAGCGCAGTTGAAAGCAGGTTATCTTATTGTTTGTGCAGGCTACCCAAGCCGGGAAATTCATCCCATTTATTATCATTTATTCATCTTTTTGGCACAATTCTAAATCAGATTGATCGCTGCAGGCAAGCATCGCTCTTTCTGAGCCTTTTGATCCTCAGTGCGTTACAGGCAGCGCTGGGGCCTTAAGAGTTTCTAGAGTCTTGTGCTACAGTAGCCCCTAGAGTCTAGAGGCCCTATGAGGCCCTATGAGGCCCTATGAGGCCCTATGAGGCCCTATGAGGCCCTAGAGTCTTGAAATTGACTTGAAATTGTTCCTTACTGAGGGTTTGGGGGCTGAGGCTTCGTGGTGAAGTTGGATAAGAATACATTTGGACCGGAATGCTGTGGAATTTCCGTTGGGCAACAGAAATTCAGCTGTTCGCAAGACCTTTTTGGAAGCCTATGCTGCGGCAATAATGGGCAAGAGGACGCTTGTTTCTGAGGCATCCATCGTAGATGTTGCACAGATGTCCTCCAATTTTTTGTGTCTGTAACCCACAGGCTTGCAACCTGCATCAAAGGTGCTGGTTTACCAAACTACAGAGTTTGTGCACGTTTTTGGCATTTCCCGAATGGGATCAATGCTGATTCCAAGAATGGGCAAGGACAGACCAGCATTTGTTGCTTGCTGATAGGACAAACTTCAAAGCCGAGCTCTTTGCATAAACAGATGCAAGAACTATCCAGAATTGGTCATTTGGGGCCAGACCTAGTTTCACAAACCTGACATGTCAGAGAATGATATTGCATTGGGTGATCATGAACACCCCATACCTGTAACTCTATTATGTATCCATGTTTTGCTTGAGAATGCGTCGGGTGGAAGGGTTTAACGGTTCAACGTTGGTTCTGGATTGTGGCAACAGGTTTGCTGACACGATTCATTTTCTTTGTTGACAGTTTGTGCATGGCAGAGCATTTCTCACCTACAAAAGTCTTTGTGTCCCGCAGCTTCTGCTTCATGACAACCTGGATATTGTCATCCAAAGAAAGCATCCCGAAGATTTTCAAAGACTGTGTATAACAGTTTTACAGCAGGGTTGAACTGCCACTTCCACTGCTATCCGCTGCTGTCCATTCCGGACAGAAGCCCAAGCAGATGAACAAGACTGAACAAGCCATCAATGTAAATTCGAAAATTATCAAGTATTGAATGTATTATCAAGACTTGTTGGATTTCAAGTTGAAGTCAGGACACCAAAGCCGCAAAGTCGGGACTGTGTCATGGCTCCACTGGATGAGGTGAATGTGCAGCCTGGCCTTGTGAGAGACGCAGAGAGACAGGGTGATGATCTTAATATAAATATATATACAGTATATATATATCTTAACCGTAAACCGGAACTGGAATTCTTCTAGCCATGACATAGAGGTTTTGGACGTTGGGTTAAGCCTTCTGAACCCTGAACTAAGCTTTTAAACTTTCTAAATATGGATGAGTGCGAACCCGAATGAAGTCAGCCCTTAGTTACTTATAGACTTATAGAGTGAGCCTATCACATAGTTTGTCCTTAACTTGTCAAAGATTCAGCCTTTGGCTCGTCATAGAGTCAGCCCTTCGCTCACCCTTAGCTTGTCATAGCATGAGCCCTCAGCTTGTCACAGAGGCAGCCCTCAGCTTGTCACAGAGGCAGCCCTTAGCTATCTTAGCTTATCATAGACTCTGCCCTTAGCTTGTCACAGAGCTAGCCTGTAGCTTGTCATAGAGTCACAGAGTCAGCCCTTAGCTTGTCACAGAGTTAGCCCTTAGCTTGTCAAAGAGTTAGCCTGTACCGAGAGAGACAGACAATAGAGAGAGAGAGAGAGGCGATAGACTTCAAACCACAAGCGAATATATATATACATTATACATATGTATATAAAATTATATTATATATGTGTGTGTATACATCCATAATACATACTTTGGCACCACGAATGATTCGAGAAGATCCCGGCTTAGGATTGATGTTGCGCGCCACTTTTCTCCCAGCGAAATTGGCAAGAGCTTGTCCAAGCTGTGGACAGCTCGTGTCTTGGAAATGTATTACTTGAATTTACATTTTGATTTACTTGATTCCATATTTGGATTCCATATTTATCCATATTTATCCATATTTGCATTTTGGTTTAAGCGCAAGTTGGCCCAGCTTTGGCATGTTTAGTTGTGTTCTCAGCTACTGAAGCTGCATGAGCCAGACACGCTTGCGAGCTTCGTGCCAGGTGGATGCGAGCTCGAGACAGCCTTGAGTGAGACTGGTATCATGTACACATGCCTGCGACTCAATGCGACTCAATGCGACTCACGGGACTGATATCTTTCAATTAAGCCTTCTTAGGATTTCGTAGGTACCAGACACAACCAGACACAGGCCCTGCCAAAGGCAACAGATGCAACAGGCACTTTGCAGGTTGTGTTTGCACGATCGAATTGAACATGCTTCAATGCTTCTTGAATGTTCTTGAGGCTATCGGAAACTCTTTCTTGCAAGATGCAAGCGCAACTCAAACAGTCTGAAGGAACCCAAAGAATCGCAATGGATCAGAATGGAGAAAGAATTTGAAAGAACTTGAAAGAACCGCAAGAATCGCAGGGCTTTTGCTTTGCTCAGCACTGCAACGAGCACTGCAACTACTGCTCGGCACCAAGGCCCTCTCACCTCATGTGCTGTGAGATGCCCAATCCTTCTAGATGATGGATGCATCTACGAGGAACGAAGGGTTTAAGATTGACATGGGATTTGTAGGATGACATGGATTGACATGAGTTGTAGGAATTTGTAGGAATTTGTAGGATGCACGGATGTGCACGGTATTTCTTATTGTGCTAAATCATGTCCACGGAGCTATGGGTGCTGATCATTTCACCACAAGCAGTCGAATTTTGTCGCATTTCGTCACGATAAATAGAAGGCAAATAGAAGGCAAATAGAAGGCAAATAGAAGGCAAATAGAAGGCAAATAGAAGGCAACATAAACAAACTGAGAGAAGATGAAGAGATTTGCCTTTAGTGAGCTGCGGCAAATGATTGTGAGAATGGACTTCACAGGAGCATGCGGCCATGACATGGCTGCGGTCTATGGGGTCCCCGACGTGCAAGCGGGCTGACAACTTACTTTCTCAGGCTGATTTTGTCATATTTTGTCAGCTTGAGATTTGCAAGACTTCCGGAACAAGACTTTTCTGAGTCTTGGTAGTTCAGCATTTTAAGGCACTGCGGCTCGGGCCGCTGGCAGAAGCTGTTGAGGCAAGGCAGACCCACCAGCATGTCACAAACGCAGCTTCACAATGCACAATGCTTCACCGGCTTGTTTTAAATTTCCACTTCTCGCGGCAGCGCATTGTGAGGCCTTTCTCCAGCACTGCAACGCAGCCGGCTATCTTGTTTCTGAGCAAATGGAACAGGCAGATTGAAGTATGTTGAAGTATGCTGAAGTATGTTGAAATTGAGCATGCCTTTTTTATTCTTTTCTCATTCTTCGCCATGTCCCTGAAATCTCCACAGAAATCTGGCTCAGGCCATGGGAGAGGCTGAGATGCCAGGACACCGATCCCAAAGGCATATGTTTGATCTGTTGGAGCATGTGCCCAACATTGAACTACAATATGTATCGACTTCTATAAAGTCTATAAATAGTCTATAAATATCTAAGCTTCCAAGCTGCAAATCGATCAACTATTGCTGTCCTTTTCCCACCACTCGGTTGGAGATTGACGGAATATTATTTGCCAGTGAACAGCTTGGGTGTAGTAGATGGATGCAAATGGCATGTCAAAGCGACCCCTCCATTGTTCCCTCACTGTTCCAAAGACATATCATTGCACAGCTGTGCGTGAATGGCATTCTTGTTGTTTTTATGTTTATTGTGCTTACTTCTTTTGTGGGAAACAGGTTTGTCTGAAAACAGGGTACCCAATGGTTTATGGCAGCACTGCTGGCACACAGCTTCCTCACCCAATCGGATCAAGGCGGAGAGTTCAAGCAGCTTAGGTACCGAAGATATCCTAAGATAATTTAAACTAATTTCAGATACTCTGGAAAACCACTACCGCATACTACGGCTTGAAAACCTTTCGAGGTTTGCCTGGTTCTCATGGGTTCAAGTTCTTTCAGGTAGATGTTCGCAACTAGCAACATGGAAGTGATCCTGACTCGTCAGTGATCAAAATCAGAGGAGTGATGCTTCTAGCTGATTCTAGGATTCTAGGATTCTAGCTTCCAGTACTTGGCTTGTTGGAAATTTCGGGCGTTCACCAGGTCCTTTACACCTCAGCAGTTGGTTGAAATTTGTTGAAATTATCTCCAAATGTTTTCATGTGTTTCCGCCCCGGAGGAACTCCGTGGCTACGGAAGATTGAACTCTTGGAAGTCATGCTCTCAGCATCTCTTAGCATCTCTCAGCTTTGATGCTGCATGGATGTGACATGAAATGATCTCATCATATGATATCAGATGACCTTCCCGACTTTGAGATAGTGTACACAATGAAAAGACATACCGATACCCCTTTTTTGCATGAGTCGCCTCACAATCTGTAAACGCAGAAATCCTCACTACTGATAAGGGACGACCCTAATTTGCGCATGGCATGAAAATGAACAAGTGATTTCGTCCGCCATTCATATATATATATATATAATTATATATGCACAAGTAAAAAAAACATACAACTAAACCTCAAGCTGGCATGATGCGCACACAGCATCTGTACTATATATATATATATGTATTATGGTCGTCCCCTCTCGGCAATGAAGGTTTTGCACACCCCTCAGCAAGGCCAAGGCGAAGCAAGACTAAATTAGTATTATTACAATAATTTTGTCAGTTACTCACAGACACACACACACACATACAGATATACATATATATATATATATAGAGACTCATTCATTTGTTATTTGTTTCTTTCTAGACCAGGGACGATTTCCATTTGTTGGTTCCTAGTTCACACTAGTTGAGCTTGTCAAACTGAACGGGAGTCTTAGGCCTCAATGGAACAAGCTGAAAGAGAAGCTGAATCCATAAGGCATCACTCCCTTGAAGCTCAGGCGGCAGACTAAACTCTGAAACTCTGAATGAAGACTGAATGACAACATCATGATCTCATAAGACAGAGAGAGAGAAAGAGAGAATCTGACGGACATGGTTTGGCTGTGTCAAATTCAGTGGCAGGCTTTGCTTGAGCGGTTGAAGAAGCAAACAGCGATAAAAAAGGACACCAACCAACACGGACAATGCTCTAAAACGCTTCCTGTTGCTTGACGATGGAGGGTCCAAAGCTACTTTCACTGCAAGTTTCATTCAAACCGCTTCTCTGAAATTTTGAACGGTTTGCAGGAACAGGCTGCCTTGTGTCTCCAGCGATTCTTTCGTTCGAAGCAATCGCACCTTGGTGGACCCTTCGCCGCGTGCTTTGTGTTCGTCCTGCCGCCCCCGTTGATTAATGTTTCTTTTCGTGTGTTCTGGTTGTTGTGGTTGGTGTGGTTGCTGTGGTTGCTGTGGTTGCTGTGGTTGCTGTGGTTGCTGTGGTTGCTGTGGTTGCTGTGGTTGCTGTGGTTGCTGTGGTTGCTGTGGTTGCTGTGGTTGCTGTGGTTGCTGTGGTTGCTGTGGTTGCTGTGGTTGCTGTGGTTGCTGTGGTTGCTGTGGTGGTGGTTGCTGTGGTTGCTGTGGTTGCTGTGGTTGCTGTGGTTGCTGTGGTTGCTGTGGTTGCTGTGGTTGCTGTGGTTGCTGTGGCTGTGGTTGCTGTGGTTGTTGTGGTTGCTGTGGTTGCTGTGGTGGTTGCTGTGGTTGCTGTGGTTGCTGTGGTTGCTGTGGTTGCTGTGGTTGCTGTGGTTGCTGTGGTTGCTGTGGTTGCTGTGGTTGCTGTGGTTGCTGTGGTTGCTGTGGTTGCTGTGGTTGCTGTGGTTGCTGTGGTTGCTGTGGTTGCTGTGGTTGCTGTGGTTGCTGTGGTTGCTGTGGTTGCTGTGTGGTTGCTGTGGTTGCTGTGGTTGCTGTGGTTGCTGTGGTTGCTGTGGTTGCTGTGGTTGCTGTGGTTGCTGTGGTTGCTGTGGATGCTGTGGTTGCTGTTGCTGCTGTGGTTGTTGTGGTTGCTGTGGTTGCTGTGGATGCTGTGGTTGCTGTGGTTGCCGTGGTTGCTGTGGCTGCTGTGGCTGCTATGGCTGCTGTGGCTGCTGTGGCTGCTGTGGTTGCTGTGGTTGCTGTGGTTGCTGTGGTTGCTGTGGTTGCTGTGGTTGCTGTGGTCGCTGTCGTTGCTGTCATTGCTGTGGTTGCTGTGGTTGCTGTGGTTGCTGTGGTTGCCGTGGTTGCTGTGGTTGCTGCTGCTGCCGCTGTTGTTGTTGTTGTTGCTGTTGTTGTTGTTGCTGCTGCTGCTGTTGCTGTTGTTGCTGCTGCTGTTGTTGTTGTTGTTCTTGCTGTTGCTGTGTTTATTGTTTGGTGTTTGCTGTTTATTGTTCGGTGTTTGGTTTTTGTTCTTGCTGTTTGTTGTTCGGTTTGTTGGTTGTTGTGGTTGTTGTTGGTTGTTTTTGGTTGTTGTGGTTGTTGTGGTTGTTGTTGTTGTTGTGGTTGTGGTGGTTGTGGTGGTTGTGGTGGTTGAGGTGGTTGTGGTTGTGGTTGTTGTTGTGGTTGTTGTGGTTGTGGTTGTTGTTGTTGTTGCTGTTGCTGTGTTTATTGTTTGGTGTTTGTTGTTTGGTGTTTATTGTTCGGTGTTTGGTTTTTGTTTTTGCTGTTTGTTGTTCGGTTTGTTGGTTGTTGTGGTTGTTGTTGTTGTTGTTGTGGTTGTGGTGGTTGTGGTGGTTGTGTTGGTTGTGGTTGTGGTTGTGGTTGTGGTTGTTGTGGTTGTGGTGTTGTTGTTGTGGTTGTTGTGGTTGTTGTGACATTGTGGTTGTTGTGACATGTGGTTCTTGTTGTTGTTGTTGTGGTTGTTGTGGTTGTCGTGGTTGTTGTGGTTGTTGTTGTTGTTGTGGTTGTGGTGGTTGTGGTTGTGGTTGTGGTTGTGGTTGTGGTTGTTGTGGTCGTTGTTGTTGTTGTTGTTGTGGTTGTTGTGGTCGTTGTGACATTGTGGTGGTTGTTGTTGTTGTTGTGGTTGTTGTGGTTGTTGTGGTTGTCGTTTTTGCCGTGGTTGTTGTTGTTGTTGTGGTGGTTGTGGTGGTTGTGGTTGTGGTTGTGGTTGTTGTGGTTGTGGTTGTTGTTGTTGTTGTTGTTGTGGTTGTTGTTGTTGTTGTTGTGGTTGTTGTGGTTGTTGTGGTTGTTGTGGTTGTTGTGGTTGTTGTGACATTGTGGTTGTTGTTGTTGTTGTTGTTGTGGTTGTCGTGGTTGTTGTTGTTGTTGTTGTTTTTTTTTTTGTTGTTGTTATTGTTGTTGTTGTTGTGGTTGTTGTTGTTGTTGTTGCTGTTGTCGTTGTTGTTGCCGCTGCTGCTGCTGCTGCTGCCGCTGTTGCCGTTGCTGCTGCCGCCGCTGCTGCCGCTGGTGCTGCGGCTGTTATTGTTTATGCTTTTGCTTTGCCAGTTATTGCCAATGCATCCAGATCTCTCAACACTAAGGCAAGATAAGCAGCGTTCTGAAGCTGCTCTTTGTCTGCAGAGATGGTGGCGGACGATGAGGAACTTGGGAGTGCAATCTTTGTGACAAACAATCCCCAACACAAACAAGAATTTACATGCACAGCGGTAGCGGTGAGATATATCGACTGCTGCATACGGCTAGAAATTGCAGGAAAGGCACCAAAAAGCCAAAGAAGAGACGTGGCAAGGCACAAAAGAAAGGCCCATGGAGACACCAGAGTTGAGACAGCACTTAACCGGGACTGCGCTGGAACTATAGAAACTTTTGGCCGGAGCAGGCTTTTATATGCCTTTTGCGGTTTTTACGAGTCGGTCAGGGAGGATTTGGTCTTGAAATGCTTGCCTTGCAGCAGGAGCTGTGAAGACACCTGAAGAGCACCTTGGAAGCAACGACTTTGGCCTGCATACACTTGAGGTCTTGTTACGTTCCAAGGTTTCAATACTTTGCGCACGTTTCAATGGCAAGTTGTCAGAACTCCTCGAGGCCAATACCAGCGGCTCCTCCTCCTCCGGAGCCCACCTTTGAACTCAATAAACAGCCTTGGTCTCAGCATGTTTCAGTATGTCTTTGCACTTTGTAATCGAAGCAGAATTTGCAGTTTCCGGGGTGGAATGGTTTCAAGCAGATTTGCAGAATCCGAGGCATCAACAGTATGCCAGGATAGAAGAGAAAGCTTGGGCCTTACAGTAAGTAGATTATAAGTAGACCCTAAAGGCGTGTGATATCTTTGGACATGTTGCGTTGTAAACAGACCCCCAAAATTCCCAAGTTTGGTTCTCCCAATTGTCTTTGCACGTGATTTGCTGCGTGTGCAGCTCTTGCATTAGAGATTGTCGTGCAGTGTTCGGATACCAAGCTTTAGGACAAGCGTGCGGTGCTGGATTTCTTTCTTGACCAGCTCATGCTTCTTGGCGGGCCATGGCATGTCAACGACACCGAAGCAGTCAAGGAACAGCAATATGGGACAAGTTGGAAAGGAGAAAAATGCAGGCAGTTTGCATACTGCCACACAGCGTCGTTCAGGTGGTCTCTACGACATGTCGTCAACTCGTCAATCCTTAAACCAAGGTACGACAGTACCAATTTTCGAATCTTGATAGTGACAAGCTCTGATGAGTCGCCCAGCTGCACAATATTGATCAATGTTGCAGGTTGGAGTTTTTTGAACCAGCATCTCTTCAGATTGGTAGGAGGCAAAGTTCTGGCAGCTTCAATGCCTAAGGCGTGCTCAGGGCCTCAGGAAAGTCTTACAAATGTCAAAAGCTGTTCAATATCCCCTGGTGACAATGCTGAAAGAAGACGACGCCACCTGGCTACGACGTGACTGTACTGTGTACATACTTTTGTGCATTAATTGTGCATTAATTGTGCATTGTTCTTCATGATAAAGTTCTGCTTTTGGCTGCCAGTTTCTTGTTTTTCTTAGTTGAAACTCAGGAATCACATAGATTCAAGGACGGTCGAGATTGCTCTTGTGCGTCTGCGCTTTAGCTTCCAGCTATTTCCAGCTATTTCCAGCTGAAAGATGTCCAGGAGCTCCCTGAATGTGCTGGAATCATCTCAGAAGGAAGATTAAGGGGTAATCCTGATGTTTCTGCCGCAAACATGTGCCTTGGCATCTACTTGGGGTTTTCCAATAGACACTTTGAAGTTCCAGTGGATTGAATGGTGAAGTGAAGACTGAGGAGTTACCCATTTTTTTTGTTTGTTCATGTTTGTTCTTCAAATAGTCAGTCAGTCAATCAAGTGGGACCTTCATGTATCTGAAATTGTTTGAACATCCCTGAATTGCCTAGACTACGCCCAAAACAAGATCGTCCATTTCAAAAAATGTAGCAATCTCGAGTCTTGAATCCAGTGGAACTTTCAAGTCACGAGTCTTCCCACAGTCGAAATACAAGATCATACTGACTGGAATGTATTGTACAGATACTGCTGCTGTTGGTTGTTCAACCATTTTTCTGGCTTCATGTGCAGCTCGCTTTCCCAGGAATACCGCATATTCTTTGTACGGATATACGATGGTTTGAACAAAGTGAACGCTTGCTTGTTTTCAGAAGAATACTTTTCAAAGCGAGGCTGTACTTTTCAAGACAAATGTAGTATACTTATTACTGTACTATTTATGTACATGTATATGTATTATGTACATATATGTACATATATATATATATTATAATATATATATATATATTATATAATATATAATATATAATATATAATATATAATATATAATATATAATATATAATATAAAATGTATAATACATAATATATAATAAATAATATATAATATAAATTATATAATATATAGTTTTTAATATACAATATATAATATGTAATATACAATATATAATATTTAATATATAATATATGATATGTAATATATCATATTTAATATATAATACATAATATACAAATATCATATATAATATATAATATATAATATGTAATATATAATATATACCCTGCAAGTCCGAAGGTCAAGTTTAACGAGGTCTTTGGCTAAAGACCAAGTTTTACGAGGACCTTTGGTTTACCTCGGTTCGATAGAGCTCAGCCATTTTTCTCCTCACGTTCATCGTCGCCAAGATCTTTCCACATTGGTCGTCATTGCGCCCCCATGCGCCCCCAATTTTTTATGGTATCAGAGCCACAAATGACGACCCAAAACTATACCGGTTCAATGCTGAATTTGACTTGAACCCATTTGAAACTGTGCTGCATCATTGGAAAGCAACATTTTTTCAATCACCTTCAGATCACAGCCCCTAATGGGCCTTTCCAATTTGCAATGAAAAGCCACTAAGACTGACATTCCGGAGCTTTTGCAAAGCAAATTCGTGGCGGTTTCCCTCAAAAAATGTTATGTTTTTTTCGTAAATTTCCAAACGTAAAAATGTTTCCTAAGGTTTCACGCTCGGTTCACGCTCGGTTCACGGTAATAGTAGGTCTTTTGCCAGTAATAGTAGGTCTTTTGCCAGTAATAGTAGGTCTTTAGAGGGTCCGTTCACGCTCGGTTCACGCTCGGTTCACGCTAGCAAAATTGGGCCCCTGGCAGTTCATATGCCATGCGTTCGTGGTGGTTCCGGCCCTGGATTCCGAATAATAAAATAGTGCGGGGTACCTAATAATAAACCACAAATCAGATATTTGGTAGGTAAAGGGAAGTACTTATCCAGAAATTTCTATTATTTCCTGCAGGATTATTGGGGAAAATTGCCCGCATGTAAAGCTGTCATATATAATATCATATACACATGATATATCATAAATCACCAGACATGACTTCATAATACAACTCAGGGCCATCAAAATACTGACAAACACCAATCAAAAAATTGATCGAAGCTGGTTGAAAACACCATGCCACCCACAAGGTCCAAGTAAAAGATAGTAAAAGTAGGTCCATATCAAGTAATAGTAGGTCCTAATCATCAAAATTAAAAAGCCAAGTTTTACGAGGTCATTGACCTGGAGGGATAATATACAATATACAATATATAATATATAAATAATGTAATATAATATAATATGATATAATATAATATAATATAATAATATAATACACAGTATACAATATTTAATATACAAAGTATACTGTATAATATATAATATATAACATATACTATATAATATATAATATATACTATATAATATAAGATATATATAATATCTAATATCTAATATATTATATATAATATATACTATATAATTTATAATATATATTAATATATGATAATACAAACATGTATATGATACTTTTTCATCAAACGCAAATTCATACCGAATCGAAAGGTGTCGGGCTGGTAGAAACCCGCCATACAAAATGCATTTGTAGTTGTTTGGGGGGGTGGGGGGGCAATAATGTTTGACCCTGTTGCGTCCATATCATTGAAACATTCTTATGCCTTGTTGGTGTACATGCACATTCCTGACATCCCCAATAGAACCAATAGAACGGATGGTGATAAACCGTACATGATTGACAATGGATGACGTCGCACAATGTCGTGTGCATTTTGGAATCGGTTTCGCTGCACAAGTCTCGGGGTGTTTACTGCAAGACTGTCATAACAATGGGATCTTGCATCAATCAAGTATGTTACTGGTATGGCTTATGTTCCCATAACGCCAAGTTATCATTGTAAATGCTATACAATCTAAACCTCCTATAGCTCTGCGTATGTAACAATATGTATATCTCATCGTCTCTATCTAACCCACTGTTAAACCATAACACCTTCTTTTCCGAGCGATGTAATTGCATAACTGAAGAATTAGATTTGCCTTCAAAAAATTGGCTTGTTTTACTCTTCAAACAACCAACACAACAATAGTCTTGGAAAACGCAGGAGATCTGATCATGCATCCCCAAAAACATGCGCGGGCTTCTACCAGCGCGACGCGTACGAAAAGACCCTAAGCGAGTTCTTTTAACGCCAACTAGTGCAGCAGAACCATATCAAGAAGAGACTCATAATTGAGAAACACCCAGTGAAGACATCAAGTTATGGAAACAGATGCAACACAAGCAGAATATCAGGCAAGAGCAACTATAGAAGCAAAACATTCATGGAAACAGAGTTAGTGCTATCGGAGGGACCCAAAAGGAGAAGAACACAGATTAGAACTGCAAAATCGAAGCTATTCACAGCGCAGACCTCCAAAGTGCTAAAGGCGATCATTGTATAATGAAAGTAATGCTTTGACACATAACTAGGTATATATATATATATATCCAAACTTTGAAACTCGTGCAAGTGCAACTAGGATGTTAGAAACCAATGATGCAAGTAACGAAGGTGTCACAAAGAAGATAGGTGAAAGACAGCATGAAAAGATGCGATCCAACAAAACACAAATTAGACGTACATAGAAACAGAATTTGATGGAGTACTTCAGAATGTGTGGCACAGTGAAAGTGAATGTAGGATAAACTCAGTTATAGATTTTATACACCCTTACCCACTTACAAAGATGAACCCCAAAGAAGTGGGAGAGCAAAATAACGACCAGCGGGAAAGCGCTGAAGATTATAGGGAAGACTGAAGAAGGGTTTTAATAGCAAAGTGCTGCAATAATTGACATGATACCAGTAGTTTACATGTTCAAGTCCCGGTCAGAATTTTCAGCACTGTAGACAAGAACAAGCACATCAACTTTTGTTGAATGGTTCAGGAACACCATATCATACCATATCTACATTTACACCCTGAACAGTAATGCAGTGAGCTTAGCTTAGCACAACAGGAAAGAAAGGGAGAATGAAAGCGAACTCAATTGAGGCTATCAGCTTCCAGTGAGGAATGAGATACCTATTGAAGACAGCACACAAGACCTACAGAAAGATCAGGAAACAAAATGTGTAGAACATCTCTAAACGTACCATTTTTGTCAGGTACGGTCGTTTCAAAGGTTGAGTGCGTAGGATTCTCTGACAATCCCTGACATCTTAGCAACTATCTTCTCCATGCCAATGTTTCTCGTTGCTCGTAGTGTCTTAGTGCGAAGTACGAAATGCAATCAAATGCACGTAGTATCACGTAGTGTCTCGTGTTTTTGTTCGGTTTGTTCGGTTTGTTCGGTTTGTTGTCCTACTGGGTGCCGGTACTTTTTGCAAGGATGGTGAATTTCGACATGCCACGCAGCCTGGAGACTGTGGCAGCAAATCATGACGTATCTGCGGTTGATCATGGTTGATCAATATATTGCGGATTATTGCGGCAATATGGTGATTTGATGTAATTTATGTCAGATTTATGTCAGATTTATGTCAGATTTATGTCAGATTTATGTCAGATTTATGTCAGATTTATGTCAGATTTATGTCAGATTTGTGTCTATTTGTCTATTTGGAACGTATTGGAACGTTGTACGATGCACAGCATATGGTGACAAAGTGCAGAGTCAATACAGAAAAATGCAGACCCGCTAATGCAGAATTTGGAAAGAATGCGCGATGGGTTCCGAGGAAGACTACATGCTTCGTATACAACTGGTGGATCCCTTTGTGAAGGCTGGCGCGTTTCAAAGACGGCCATTCATAAATGCTGCTAAGTACAACATATAGCCGTGCATATCATCTGCTATAGTCAAGTGACATCAGAGGACACTGAAACCGATCTGAAGTGGAATGATAATTGACCTGGTACAGGTGATGAGTTTGCCTGCAAGCCCAGAGGAAATGGGAGTGATTCGGCAGGCCAGGTTCTGGTTGCTTAGGCTTTGCCTTGCAGAAGGAAGCAGACATTGAGCTTTCCTGCAGGTGGAAGACAGATTTGGGGTTGTCTTCAGAAATATGGAGGTGGGTGAGAAGCAGCGCTTGTAGCCCTGTTCTTTTCTGTTAAGACAGATGCCTTAGTTTGTCCCTGATGGTAATGATTTGCAGGGGGTTGCAAGATTCAAGATTCTGCAGAACAGAAAAGCGCTGAGGCAAGGGTGTGAATATTTGCAGACACACAGAGCAAGCAAGAGATTGATATCGCCAGATTGGACATATCATGACATATCAACCGGCATTCGCCGAGACTTGTTGATCATTGTTGGTCCAATTCCAGGAACAAGCTCCAGGCTACAGGAAACCCGGCTTGACTTGAAACTCCTTTAACTCTTTGCAGTCTTGAGATATCTTGATTCTAAAGATCTGAGTGACTAAGTTGGTGAACCCGACAAACCTGTTGGCACCCAGGTAGTCAGCGACAGAAGATGCTGTAACCTGAGTTGCGATGTCAGAAGCGGTCGAGCGTTGCTCACTCTGCAAGAGCAGAGTCAAGAGAAGAACTCTTGTAACTCTTATTTGTTGTTAACTCTTGTTTGTATTTCCCCAGATAGCTAGCAAGCTATAGGGGTTCTTACTTCTCAAAGGTGGGGTCTTCGGTGGCGAACTTTTGAGCAGGGTGCTGTGCAGGGTGCTGTGCAGGGTGCTGTGCAGGGTGCTGTCCAGACTGCGGTGGCGAAGTCTGGCAAAGGTGCTGTGCAGGGTGCTGTGCAGGGTGCTGTCCAGACTGCGGTGGCGAAGTCTGCAAAGGTGCTGCAGGGTGTGCTGTGCAGGGTGCTGTGCTGTGCAGGGTGCTGCCAGACTGCGGTGGCGAAGTCTGGCAAAGGTGCTGTGCAGGGTGCTGTGCAGGGTGCTGTGCAGGGGGCTGTCGGTGTGCGGTGCTGGTGCTTCTGTGCATGCTGTGCAGGGTGCTGTGCAGGGTGCTGTGCAGGGTGCTGTCTAGTGCGGTGGCGAAGTCTGGCAAAGGTGCTGTGCAGGGTGCTGTGCAGGGTGCTGTCCAGACTGCGGTGGCGAAGTCTGGCAAAGGTGCTGCGCAGGGTCAGGATGCTGTGCAGGGTGCTGCGGAGGGTGCTGTGCAGGGTGCTGTCCAGACTGCGGTGGCGAAGTCTGGCAAAGGTGCTGTGCAGGGTGCTGTGCAGGGTGCTGACAAAGGTGCTGTGCAGGGGGCTGTGCAGGGGGCTGTGCAGGGTGCTGTGCAGGGTGCTGTGCAGGGTGCTGTAGTAGTGCGGTGGCGAAGTCTGGCAAAGGTGCTGTGCAGGGTGCTGTCCAGACTGTGGTGGCGAAGTCTGGCAAAGGTGCTGTGCAGGGAGCTGTGAAGGGTGGTGTGAAAGGTGCTGTGCAGGGTGCTGTGCTTTGGTTCCCACGTTGGGAACCATCAGTTCCAACCTTTAGGAATTGGAAGTTCTTTGCAATGGTAACCTCTAGTTCCCAGGTTGGGAACCATGAGTTCCAACCTCTGGGAACCGGCAGTTCCTTGCAATGGTAACCCATGGTTCCCAGGTTGGGAACCAGGAGTTCCAACCTCTGGGAACCGGCAGTTCCTTGCAATGGTAACCTGTGGTTCCCACGTTGGCAACAGTGAGTTCCAACCTTTGGGAACCGGCAGTTCCTTACCATGAACCAAACGCAAACATTCCGGTACCGGTCCATTGAGCAAAACAAAGCGTTCTTTACCGGTCCATTAAGCAAAACCATAAAATTGTAAAGAAACTGTTTTCATATCATTTTAACATGCACCTTTTTCGTGCAAAACATTTTTATGCCGGCCCAACAGCCAAACGCAAACATTCCGCTACCGGTCCATTAAGCAAAACAAAAGATTCTGTTACCGGCTCAGTAAACAAAACAAAACAACATTAAGAACCATGAGTTCTAACTTTTTGCAATCAACAGATCCTTCCACTGGTAACGTTACTTTTTCAGGCTTGGAACATCTTGGAACCATGAGTTTCAAGCTTTGGAAACCCGCAGTTCCTTACAATGAAAGCCGCTTAGCTCGAAAACATAAATTCTAACTTCTGGGAACCGGCAATTCCTTGCAATGGTAACCTCTGGTTCCCAGATTGGGAACCGTAAGTTTCAAGGTCTGGGAACCGGCAGTTCCTTGCCATGGTAACCTTTGGTTCCCACGTTGGGAACCATCAGTTCCAACCTTTAGGAACTGGAAGTTCTTTGCAATGGTAACCTATGGTTCCCAGGTTGGGAAGCATGAGTTCCAACCTCTGGGAACCGGCAGTTGCTTGCAATGGTAACCTCTGGTTCCCCATGACTTCTAACCTGTGGGAACCGGCAGTTCTTTGCAATGGTAACCTGTGGTTCCCACGTTGGCAAGCGTGAGTTCCAACCTTTGGGACCCGGCAGTTCCTTGCCATGAACCAAACGCAAACATTCTGGTACCGGTCCATTAAGCAAAACAAAGCGTTCTTTACCGGTCCATTAAGCAAAACAAAAGGTTCTGTTACCGGCTCAGTAAACAAAACAAAACAACATTAAGAACCATGAAATTCCAACTTTTTGGAATCAACAGATCCTTCCACTGGTAACGTATGCTTTTTCAGCTTTGGAACCATGAGTTTCAAGCTTTCGCAACCGGCAATTCCTTACAATGATAGTTGCTTATCTTCGAAAACATAAATTCTAACTTCTGGGAACCGGCAATTCCTTGCAATGGCAACCTCTGGTTCCCAGGTTGGGAACCGTAAGTTTCAAGGTCTGGGAACCGGCAGTTCTTTGCCATGGTACCCTTTGGTTCCCACGTTGGGAACCATCAGTTCCAACCTTTAGGAAACGGAAGTTCTTTGCAATGGTAGCCTATGGTTCCCAGGTTGGGAAGCATGAGTTCCAACCTCTGGAAACCGGCAGTTCCTTGCAATGGTAACCCATGGTTCCCAAGTTGGGAACCAGGAGTTCCAACCTTATAAGATTCTTACTGCTACAGTCTGAGACCATCAAAAATTATTATTTTTTCATTTTTTTTCATTTTTTTTCATTTTCATTTCCATTTTCATTTTCATTATCATTTCCATTATCGTTTTTTTCCATTTTATCTTCATTTTTTTCATTTTTGTTCATCACCTTTTGCCATCAAACTTCTTTTTTTTTCATTTGCAACTTCATTTTTTTCATTTGCAACTTCTTTTTTTTCATTTGCAACTTCATTTTTTTCATTTGCAACTTCATTTTTTTTCATTTGCAACTTCATTTTTTTTTCATTTGCAACTTCATTTTTTTTTCATTTCCTCTCTTTTTGATGGTTTTTCATTGTTTTTCATGGTTTTCCTGGATTTCAGGTGCCACGGGCAAGGAAAATGAAAAAAAAATGAGAAAAATGAAAATTTCCTCGAGTTTTTGAAGATTTCCTGGTTCGGAGTGAGAATCTGCAACTTTGAGTCCAAATTTTCATTTTTTTTTCATTTGCAACTTCATTTTTTTTCATTTTCCTTTGTTTTTGATGGTTTTCCATTGTTTTTCATTGTTTTTCATGGTTTTCCTGGATTTCAGGTGCCACGGGAAAGGAAAATGAAAAAAAAAAAAAAAAATGAAAAAAAAAGAAAACAATGAAAAAAAATGAAAATTTCCTCGAGTTTTTGAAGATTTCCTGGTTCGGAGTGAGAATCTGCAACTTTGAGTCCAAATTTTCATTTTTTTTTCATTTGCAACTTCATTTTTTTTTCATTTTCCTTTGTTTTTGATGGTTTTCCATTGTTTTTCATTGTTTTTCATGGTTTTCCTGGATTTCAGGTGCCACGGGAAAGGAAAATGAAAAAAAATGAAGTTTAAAATGAAAAAAAAATGAAGTTTGAAATGAAAAAAAAATGATGTTTGAAATGAAAAAAATGAAGTTTGGAGAAACAAAAAACGAAAAAAAAATGAAAAAAAATGAAAAATAAATGAAAAATAAATGAAAACAGAAAAATGATTGAAAAACAAAATGAAAAAAAATGAAGTTACAAATGAAAACCCAAATGAAAAATAAATGAAAAAAAATAATTTTAAACATTTCCAATCTGTGGCTCGATGCGAATCATATAATTCCAACCTCTGGGAACCGGCAGTTCCTTGCAATAGTAACCTGTAACCTGTGGTTCCCACGTTGGCAACCGTGAGTTCCAACCTTTGGGAACCGGCAGTTCCTTGCCATGAACCAAACGCAAACATTCCGGTACCGGTCCATTAAGCAAAACAAAGCGTTCTGTACCGGTCCATTAAGCAAAACCATAAAGTTGTAAAAAAAATGTTTTCATATCATTTTAACATGCACCTTTTCGTGCAAAAACATTTTTTTTGCCAGCCCAACAGCCAAACGCAAACATTCCGCTACCGGTCCATTAAGCAAAACTAAAGGTTCTGTTACCGGCTCAGTAAACAAAACAAAACAACATTAAGAACCATGAGTTCTAACTTTTTGCAATCAACAGATCCTTCCACTGGTAACGTTACTTTTTCAGGCTTGGAACATCTTGGAACCATGAGTTTCAAGCTTTGGGAACCTGCAGTTCCTTACAATGATAGCCGCTTAGCTTCGAAAACATAAATTCTAACTTCTGGGAACCGGCAATTCCTTGCAATGGTAACCTCTGGTTCCCAGGTTGGGAACCGTAAGTTTCAAGGTCTGGGAAACGGCAGTTCCTTGTCATGGTAACCTTTGGTTCCCACGTTGGGAACCATCAGTTCCAACCTTTAGGAATTGGAAGTTCTTTGCAATGGTAACCTATGGTTCCCAGGTTGGGAAGACCTCTGGGAACCGGCAGTTGCTTGCAATGGTAACCTCTGGTTCCCAGGTTGGGAACCATGAGTTCCAACCTGTGGGAACCGGCAGTTCCTTGCAATGGTAACCTGTGGTTCCCATGTTGGCAACCGTGAGTTCCAACCTTTGGGAACCGGCAGTTCCTTCCCATGAACCAAACGCAAACATTCCGGTACCGGTCCATTAAGCAAAACCGAGCGTTCTTTACCGGTCCATTAAGCAAAACCATAAAGTTGTAAAGAAAATGTTTTCATATCATTTTAACATGCACCTTTTTCGTGCAAAAACATTTTTATGCCGGCCCAGCAGCCGAACGCAAACATTCCGCTACCGGTCCATTAAGAAAAACAAAAGGTTCTGTTACCGGCTCAGTAAACAAAACAAAACAACATTAAGAACCATGACGTCTAACTTTTTGCAGTCAACAGATCCTTCCACTGGTAACGTTACTTTTTCAGGCTTGGAACCATGAGTTTCAAGCTTTGGGAACCCGCAGTTCCTTACAATGATAGCCACTTAGCTTCGAAAACATAAATTCTAATTTCTGGGAACCGGCAATTCCTTGCAACAGTAACCTCTGGTTCCCAGGTTGGGAACCGTAAGTTTCAAGGTCTGGGAACCGGCAGTTCCTTGCCATGGCAACCTTTGGTTCCCACGTTGGGAACCATCAGTTCCAACCTTTAGGAATTGGAAGTTCTTTGCAATGGTAACCTATGGTTCCCAGGTTGGGAAGCATGAGTTCCAACCTCTGGGAACCGGCAGTTGCTTGCAATGGTAACCTCTGGTTCCCAGGTTGGGAACCATGAGTTCCAACCTCTGGGAACCGGCAGTTCCTCGCAATGGTAACCTGTGGTTCCCACGTTGGCAACCGTGAGTTCCAACCTTTGGGAACCGGCAGTTCCTTGCCATGAACCAAACGCAAACATTCCGGTACCGGTCCATTAAGCAAAACCGAGCGTTCTTTACCGGCCCATTAAGCAAAACCATAAAGTTGTAAAAAAAATGTTTTCATATCATTTTAACATGCACCTTTTTCGTGCAAAAACATTTTTATGCCGGCCCAGCAGCCGAACGCAAACATTCCGCTACCGGTCCATTAAGAAAAACAAAAGGTTCTGTTACCGGCTCAGTAAACAAAACAAAACAACATTAAGAACCATGAGTTCCAACTTTTTGGAATCAACAGATCCTTCCACTGGTAACGTATGCTTTTTCAGCTTTGGAACCATGAGTTTCAAGCTTTCGCAACCGGCAATTCCTTACAATGATAGTTGCTTATCTTCGAAAACATAAATTCTAACTTCTGGGAACCAGCAATTCCTTGCAATGGCAACCTCTGGTTCCCAGGTTGGGAACCCTAAGTTTCAAGGTCTGGGAACCGGCAGTTCCTTGCCATGGTAACCTTTGGTTCCCACGTTGGGAACCATCAGTTCCAACCTTTTCTATCTGGGGTCTATGCCGGTGTAATTTTTCTTTGGCACACAGAGATTGGTGATTGGTGTATGCGAAGCACACATGCGGTGGCAGCTAAGTTTAGAGGATAGAAGTTCTCACTGCAAGTATTCTTCAGTTTCAATTTATATAGAGGATTCATGAAGTCTGGTCTTCAGTAGCTGCCTCCACAGTTTGTTGAGCCCGTGTACGAATCTGCAAGGCTATTCATGGTAGCACAATCGTGCACCGTAGCCAATGGCTCATTGCGTACTGTGCACAATGCTGCAGCTTTGAGTGGTTGCCGTAGATGCTCAAAAAGGAAACTCGTGATATGAATGGAAATGTTTGACATGTGGCCGAACTGACTATGTCAGCTTCTTGCATTAGAGAGGCATGAAGTCAGACAGTCAGACCCACTAAGAAACTTCTCATGAAGTATCATGAAGTGTAGGACAAGGATCTTGGCCACCTGAAAAGGATTGAAAAGGTATGCCCTCGCCTAGGTTTGGGCAGACAATGATTCCCCATAGACATTGTGATTTATGAGTGCTCGGCAAGAGGAACCTGCATAGAATCTGAAAGATCTCGATACCTGCGAACATGCGTCATAGCATATGACAGCATAGATTGATATTATTTGCGTAGACACAGATATTTGGAGTTGCACTCTTTTGGTATTTTTTGTAGATAATAGTTTCTGCCTTTCGAGCTCAAGGATAGAAGCCCCCTCAGATGGTCTTGAACTACCTTGTTTGAGACTCAAACTCGAACACGATCGAGCACGTATATGCCCAAAGTGAACACATGGTCACATGGTGTGACTTTCTGAGCGCCTTCTCTGGGTCCAACTGCAGATAACTGCAGATCATCCTGACAAACCATAGCTTCAAAATGCTTCAAACTAAATCCACATGCCTGAGCCTGTCTGATTTCAGCTAATTTGCGGCTCTAGCATTGGAAACTTGGGCACCGCCTTCTCGTTTACAGTTCTCTAGCGCAGGTGGGTGATTTATTTGTCTCATCTCTGTGCTGCTTTGTTGATGCTGAACTTTTTCGACAAGCAAGTAAGAACTACGATGGTTCATACGTATTCGAGCAACAACAGGTTGAGTGATGATGAGAGACCAAAACAATCCCTAATGTGTCCTCAGTAAAGGACCGCCATTTCTTGAGTGAGCGTTGGCCCAAACCCTTGATACTGGCTGTTTATTGAAAGTTATTGGGGACTCCAGTGCATCTACATGGGATTTGTCAACATGGATGAGTCATTGAATCCACATCAATCCATATCACACATATCAACATCTATCAACTACTTTCCAAAGGGGTAAAATGGTAAAATGGGTCGCTGTTCAATTGATGAGTTGTTTGGTGCAGGTGATGGTGACACGGCTGCTGTGCGCTGCGGTGTTCGCCGTTTTTCGAGATGTGTTTGCAGATTCATCCCACGTTGCCTGACTGAAAAAGTGTTACAAATTCTTTCAAGGATTCCAAAATTTCGGCACATAGGAGCAGCAAATACCTAGCCTGACAGCATGCAAACTAGTCTGTTCACTGTACGCAAAGCTTCCTTGATCGATTTTTACCATGGCGAATCGTGATTGCTTTCTTTGAGGTTGAAACTGGCAGCCTGTATGCACTTCAGCGCTTTGTTTTGTTTGAGTTTGCCATTGTCCCTCGATGCAGTATTTAGAGCAAAGGAAGCCACTACACCCAGTACATTCCCCAGAAGTACAGCGACTACGTCCCTGAGATGGACGAAAGCGGAATCAAGTATCAGAAGTACATGCAGGGACAGCCAGATGCGATGAAGTTTCAAGAAAAAGTCTTGCCAGAAGGCGACTACCAACATTACATTCCATTGTCTCAAAATGGCAAGGCTGACAACCATGATGCCCTGGAAGTGGTCCTTGCAGCTGCCAAAAGTGAGAAAAAGGAGGACAGGAAGGACAGAAAAACTAAAGATACGGATGACTCCGCAGAGCGTGCAAATGGCGAGATGGATTTCGAGAAGTATATGCACGCACCCACCCCTGGGCCAGTGGTTGACAGGAAGTACAGAAAGTACATTCCTGGCAAGTACAGCGACTACGTCCCTGAGATGGACGAAAGCGGAATCAAGTATCAGAAGTACATGCAGGGACAGCCAGATGCGATGAAGTTTCAAGAAAAAGTCTTGCCAGAAGGCGACTACCAACATTACATTCCATTGTCTCAAAATGGCAAGGCTGACAACCATGATGCCCTGGAAGTGGTCCTTGCAGCTGCCAAAAGTGAGAAAAAGGAGGACAGGAAGGACAGAAAAACTAAAGATACGGATGACTCCGCAGAGCGTGCAAATGGCGAGATGGATTTCGAGAAGTATATGCACGCACCCACCCCTGGGCCAGTGGTTGACAGGAAGTACAGAAAGTACATCCCTGGCAAGTACAGCGACTACGTCCCTGAGATGGACGAAAGCGGAATCAAGTATCAGAAGTACATGCAGGGACAGCCAGATGCGATGAAGTTTCAAGAAAAAGTCTTGCCAGAAGGCGACTACCAACATTACATTCCATTGTCTCAAAATGGTAAGGCTGACAAACATGATGCCCTGGAAGTGGTCCTTGCAGCTGCCAAAAGTGAGAAAAAGGAGGACAGGAAGGACAGAAAAACTAAAGATACGGATGACTCCGCAGAGCGTGCAAATGGCGAGATGGATTTCGAGAAGTATATGCACGCACCCACCCCTGGGCCAGTGGTTGACAGGAAGTACAGAAAGTACATCCCTGGCAAGTACAGCGACTACGTCCCTGAGATGGACGAAAGCGGAATCAAGTATCAGAAGTACATGCAGGGACAGCCAGATGCGATGAAGTTTCAAGAAAAAGTCTTGCCAGAAGGCGACTACCAACATTACATTCCATTGTCTCAAAATGACAAGGCTGACAAACCATGATGCCCTGGAAGTGGTCCTTGCAGCTGCCAAAAGTGAGAAAAAGGAGGACAGGAAGGACAGAAAAACTAAAGATACGGATGACTCCGCAGAGCGTGCAAATGGCGAGATGGATTTCGAGAAGTATATGCACGCACCCACCCCTGGGCCAGTGGTTGACAGGAAGTACAGAAAGTACATCCCTGGCAAGTACAGCGACTACGTCCCTGAGATGGACGAAAGCGGAATCAAGTATCAGAAGTACATGCAGGGACAGCCAGATGCGATGAAGTTTCAAGAAAAAGTCTTGCCAGAAGGCGACTACCAACATTACATTCCATTGTCTCAAAATGGCAAGGCTGACAACCATGATGCCCTGGAAGTGGTCCTTGCAGCTGCCAAAAGTGAGAAAAAGGAGGACAGGAAGGACAGAAAAACTAAAGATACGGATGACTCCGCAGAGCGTGCAAATGGCGAGATGGATTTCGAGAAGTATATGCACGCACCCACCCCTGGGCCAGTGGTTGACAGGAAGTACAGAAAGTACATCCCTGGCAAGTACAGCGACTACGTCCCTGAGATGGACGAAAGCGGAATCAAGTATCAGAAGTACATGCAGGGACAGCCAGATGCGATGAAGTTTCAAGAAAAAGTCTTGCCAGAAGGCAACTACCAACATTACATTCCATTGTCTCAAAGTGACAAAGCTGACAAACCTGATGCCCTGGAAGTGGTCCTTGCAGCTGCCAAAAGTGAGAAAAAGGAGGACAGGAAGGACAGAAAAACTAAAGATACGGATGACTCCGCAGAGCGTGCAAATGGCGAGATGGATTTCGAGAAGTATATGCACGCACCCACCCCTGGTCCAGTGGTTGACAGGAAGTACGGGAAGTACATCCCTGGCAAGTACAGCGACTACGTCCCTGAGATGGACGAAAGCGGAATCAAGTATCAGAAGTACATGCAGGGACAGCCAGATGCGATGAAGTTTCAAGAAAAAGTCTTGCCAGAAGGCGACTACCAACATTACATTCCATTGTCTCAAAATGGCAAGGCTGACAAACATGATGCCCTGGAAGTGGTCCTTGCAGCTGCCAAAAGTGAGAAAAAGGAGGACAGGAAGGACAGAAAAACTAAAGATACGGATGACTCCGCAGAGCGTGCAAATGGCGAGATGGATTTCGAGAAGTATATGCGCGCACCCACCCCTGGGCCAGTGGTTGACAGGAAGTACGGGAAGTACATCCCTGGCAAGTACAGCGACTACGTCCCCGAGATGGACGAAAGCGGAATCAAGTATCAGAAGTACATGCCAGAAAGTTCGGGTGACTCCAATCGGGCCGGATCTTTTTCAAGATCTAATGCTGCTCATGAGGACTGTTTTTTACTGAGTCCAATTCGGATTCCGTATGTCTCTTGCATGAGTCATTGTTCGGACTTGATGACTTGATTGATGGACCTTAATTGTTTGTAACTTCGCAGTTCCTCACTGTCAGACAGCTTTGCACTGCTGGTGCTTTTTGGCCACTCTAAACCGAAGAAAGTTTAGATGGATGAACACCTACTGGTACAAAGCATTCTGCCTTTCAGATCCTTACAGTTGCTGATCTATCCTTACCCAAGGATCTAACACGCTCAATGCATGACGGGATCCATTTTCTCACGAGCTGGATTCATCAGTCTTGTGCAGCCAAGTAACCAAAAACACTTCCTGAATTACCAAGTAGCCAAATACTAAGAAGCTACAGCACTTCAATGGATAGTGGATATATCATATATCTACACAGACACTCAGACAACAATAATGCAGTTGGATCCGCCAGTTGCATCCAGCTGCTATCTACGTGTCAATATGTGTCAATACGTGTCTTTTGCCAGACAGCTCTTCTCCATTTTTCGTGATTTTCCATTTTTCACGACAGCTAGCTTGCTAGCTGGAGTTGGATTTGCTTTAGCAATGAATTGGGGGTAGACTGGACGCAGCTGCCATGATTTTTCATGTCGAACTTGTTTTGGGCCCCGCAGTTCGGCGTGACTAATCATGTCGAACCGTGAACCCCCCCAAACCCCGCTGCGTCCATCCTGCTGGGTTTCATCTGCGACCACGCGTTCGCATGCCCACGCACACACACACATGTACAAGATGAAACCCGCCGTGAGTGTTGTGAATGTAATGCAATGTAATGCAATACAATGTAATGTAATGCAATCTAACCTAATCTAATTTAATCTAATATAATGGTATCTAATCTATATAATACAATGCAATGTAGCCTAATCCAATGTAACGTAACCTAATGTAATGTAATACCCTGATGGTATGTGATGTAAGGTAATGTAATGTAACCTGCTGTACTGCAATGTAATGCAACGTAGGGTCGCGTAACGTAATGTCATGTAATGTAATGTATTGTAATGCAATGTAGTGTAATGTAATGTAGTGTAACTTTAATGTAATGTAATGTAATGTAGTGTAATGAGAGAACAAACGCTTGGAGCCTGCATTCCATTTCTTCAAGATGTCAGCATGAAAACATGGCCTGTCTTGGCGGGAAATGGAAGACGTGCACCGTAAGATTTCCAAGTATTTCTTGCTCGATAGATATTTGCACCCAAGGTAGCAGATTCTAAGACTGGGTTATTTGCATAGTGGATATATAATGATATATATATAATTAGTATATGCACATACATATATATGTATATTATATATATACAACTATATTCATATGTTATATAGATACTTGGAAATATTCAACGTAGACATATGTATATATATATATATGTATATATATATATATGTATATATATATAATGTCACGCCGGACAGGAACAAGGAAGGAAAGGCCGAGGGAAAGAGGTTTAATCTCGAAAGGTAGCGGTGAGCTACCTGAGTTCCCCCTTGCGTAGCAAGTATTAGGGGGCGAGCGGTGCAAGTGCAAGAGTTTGGGCCGGTTATGTCTCGGTCCGCCTTTCAAGGGGGGGGGGCCCCCCCCCCACCCTTCGATTCCCCCCAGGTCCGCCTCTAAAGCCGGGTTTGCAACATAGGCGGACTACAAGGAAACGCCAACAGCCGCACATGCACTTTCATCCACCACGTTTACATACATCCCCACCCCAACCGAAGTCAAGACCCGCACTGAAACTCGACAATGTCAGATTGCTCAAGAACTTTGTTTTGTTCACCCTAACAACCGCGATGAACAATGTCGTAGCAAGAACGTTGCGACGGACTGCGTTGCAGTAGTCTCAAAAATCGTACATGATATACCAGTAGTACCGCACAAGGCGGTGGCGGAAGTTTCAAAAATAGGAAACCTATAGGAGAGATTGGTTGTTGTGAATCAGAGATGGCAGAGCGAAGCCACTGCTGGACTGAAAGGCGCTTGATCTCTCTCACTCTTGTCTACCTGTCTATCTATCTATCATATCTATCTATCTAAATATCTATCTATCTATCTATCTATCTAAATCTATCTATCTATCTACCTATCTATCTATCTATCTATCCATCTATCCATCTATCCATCTATCCATCTATCCATCTATCCATCTATCCATCTATCCATCTATCCATCTATTTCTCCCTCTATCTATCTATCTATCGATCTATCGATCTACCGATCTATCGATCTATCGATCTATCGATCTATCGATCTATCGATCTATCGATCTATCTATCTATCCCTCTATCCCTCTATCCCTCTATCTATCTATCTATCCTATCTATCCTATCTATCCTATCTATCCTATCTATCCTATCTATCCTATCTATCCTATCTATCCTATCTATCCTATCTATCCTATCTATCCTATCTATCCTATCTATCCTATCTTTCCTATCTATCCTATCTATCCTATCTATCCTATCTATCTATCCTATCTATCCTATCTATCCTATCTATCCTATCTATCCTATCTATCTATCTATATACCTATCTATCTATCTATCTATCTATCTATCTATCTATCTATCTATCTATCTATCTATCTATCTATCTATCTATCTATCTATCTATCTATCTATCTTATTATCTATCTATCTATCTATCTATCTATCTATCTATCTATCTATCTATCTATCTATCTATCTATCTATCTATCTATCTATCTATCTATCTATCTCATCTATCTCATCTATCTCATCTATCTCATCTATCTCATCTATCTCATCTATCTCATCTATCTCATCTATCTCATCTATCTCATCTATCTATCTATCTATCTATCTATCTATCTATCTATCTATCTATCTATCTATCTATCTATCTATCTATCTATCTATCTATCTATCTATCTATCTATCTATCTATCTATCTATCATATCTATCATATCTATCTATCTATCAATCTATCAATTATCAATCAATCAATCTATCTATCTATCTATCTATCTATCTATCTATCTTATCTATCTTATCTATCTTATCTATCTATCTGTCTAGCTGTCTACCTGTCTATCTTTTGTGCAGTGTCATTCAGTGTAACGTAGTGTAGTGTAATGTAGTGTAATGTAGTGGAGTGTAGTTGTAGTTGTAGGTGGTAGTGGAGTGTAGTGTAGAGTAGTGTCGTGAAGTGTAGCGGCAGGTAGTGTAGTGTAGTGTAGTGTAGTGGAGTCTAGTGTAGTGTAATGTAGTGTAGTGTAAGGTAGTGTAGTGTAGTGGAGTGTAGTTGTGTAGTTTTAGTTGTAGTGTTGTGGAGTGTAGTGTAGTGTAAGGTAGTGTAGTGTAGTTTAATGTTGTGTAGTGGAGTGTAGTGGAGTGTAGTTGGGTAGGTGTAGTTGTATTTGTAGTGTAGTGGAGTGTAGTTGGGTAGGTGTAGTTGTATTTGTAGTGTAGTGGAGTGTAGTGTAGTGTAATGTAGTGAAGTGTAGTGTAGAGAGTGTAGTGCAGTGTAATTTAGTGTAGTGGACTGTAGTGGACTGTAGTTGTGTAGTTGTAGTTGTAACCTGTAGTGTTGTGAAGTGTAGTGTAATGTAATGTAGTGTAATGTAGTGTAGTGCAGCAAAGTGTAGTGTCATGTAGTGTAGTCGAGTTAAGCGAAGCAATATCTGAACCGCCAAAAGTGGTCCGAAACCCTAGTGTTTTTAACATGTTAACTTCCAAATCTGCTTCGCGCCACCACGGCGTGCACTTTTTCGAAACTCGACATCTCAGCCTCCAAAAGTGGTCCGAACATGGTGTGGTTTGTACATTTTGACTTCGAAATGTGCTTCGCGCCACAGCGGCGTGCACTTTTCGAAACTCGACCTCTGAGCCTCCAAAAGTGGTTCGAACCCCTGGTGTTTTGCACATTTTGACTTCGAAATGTGCTTCGTGCCACAACGGCGTGCACTTTTTCGAAACTCGACCTCTGAGCCTCCAAAAGTGGTCCGAACCCCGAGTGTTTTTAACATTTTGACTTGGAAATGTGCTTCGCGCCACAACGGCGTGCACTTTTTCGACATCTTAAGTGCCAAAAGTGGTCCGCACTTGGTGTGTTTTCTACATTTTGACCTGGACATGTGCTTCGCGCCACAACGGTGTGCACTTTTTCGACATCGCAACTTCCAAAAGTGGTCAGACCCTGGTGTGTTTTGTACATTTTGACTTGGGGATGTGCTTCGCACCACAACGGCGTGCACTTTTTCGACATCTGAAGCGCCAAAAGTGGTCCGATCCTCTTGGTGTTTTGCGCATTTTGACTTGGAAATGTGCTTCGCGCCACAACGGCGTGCAATTTTTCATGTCTCATCTCCCCATATGTCTCCGCACCCGCCGCTTTAGCGAGCCTACTTTTCGACCCTCTGGAACCACAAATCATTGGAAAAACAAAGTGAATCGCGACTTTCCTTCCTTTTCGCGCATCTGCATCTTCTTTCTTCTGACTCTTTCTCTTCTGAACTTTCTCTTCTCTCTGCCTCTGCCCTGCTCTGCTTTTCATCTGTCCATATTGTCGGAAGTTTAGCTTCTCAACTTCCTTCGACAATATAGTTAAAGATATGTATCTATATATATATACACATAATAATTCCATGATATATATATATACTAAATAATCTCAATATACATATAGATTCGTATATATATATATATATATATATATATGCATACTCTACCCAGCAATTGTGGGATATTGCGCTTTGGCTAGTGGTTGCCGAAGCATAATCGCTGCCCCTGGCTCAGCATATCTAGATCATTTGGTGGATTTTCCGCAAGGGTTCCTCCAAGATATTCTCTTAAACCAAAAGACTTCGCTAATGACATTTCAATATGTTTCATATATATGTATATTCGTATATATATAGTTATCATGTATAATAACTAGAACACCTATAATGACTAGAATTACTATAATAACTAGAACATAATTATCACAACTATATTGAACCCCCCCTTCGATTCCCCCAAGGTCCGCCTCTAAAGCCGCGTTTGCAAGAAGTCACCCCGCGGGCCCACTTTTTGCACCAAGATTCCAGCACCAGGATAGCCCTAAGTCAGTTGCTTTGGGTACATGCTGGGGTCAAAACACCACGTTTGTGAATCCCACACTGTTCTACACAGGTACACACCAGAATCAACCCCATCCGCGTTGCAACAATGTGCTGCCCCCAGTTACACGTTGCCTCGCAAACCCCATAACCTGATATTTATACATATATCTAACTATATGTATGTATTTATATATATATGTCTGTGTGTCTGTGTGTGTGTCGTGTCCCCCCTCCCTGAAACCTACCTTTTTGGTACCCGCCCTCGAGTCCAAGCCCAGAAGACTTTTTTCGATATCCGCCCCAACTCCACCCACGTCCGTCCGCAGCGGATATGCCTCGTTCCCTTGCTCTCTTCTCCTGTTCCAACCCACGCCTACCTTTCGATCTTTCACCCTTCCCTCTCAAGTATGGATTAATCAGATGGCGCAAAGCGGTTCAACCGAAGCGCGTTCGGTTGGGGTACTTTGTATTTGGCAAGTAGAGTACTAGGAGTGTAATGTTGACGCTGGTATGCTAGGATGTCAGGTTGGAGGGCTGTGGAATGATTATTGTGCATGCCAGCTAGAACATCTTTCAAGCGAAAACATGACATTCAAAAGGTCGTGCCACATATTTTCTCAATACACATTTCTCGTTGCCCAACTAGCTTTCGTCATCTTTCGTCCCCTTCCTTTTGGCCTCAAGTCGCACATGCCGGCGCTTTTCAAGTTTGTGAGTTTTTGAGAAAACTGTGCGCTTGGCAGTTCTCATTGCCAAACAGTTCTATATATATATATATGTTTATATTCTCGTGAGATGTTGTGAAACTTCTCTTTGATCTTTTCTTATCGTGCTCCTTCTTTAACTCGTCTTACTCCAACTGATTTGAGTTTTCTGGCGTCAAATGGCTTTCAGATCATGCTTTGAAAGCAATGTTGAGACCATGTAGTGAGCGAAAACCAGCAAGTAAACATCATGATACAGTCACTTTCCAGTGCGATGTCTTATGTCCAACTTCTTTGATTTTTTCCATTGTGTTTGGTCCTTTAAATTCCTGTATCTTGTTTGTTTGACATAATTTGAGGCAATGTAATTCATATATATATATATGCACATAAACACATCTGGAATATACACCCCAGTAGACACTTCCAAATGAGTTTTCTTCCACACATGACGCGGATGCTAAGCTCCTGTGGGTGTCGCCACGGTCCACGGTCGGTCCAAGATCCAAGTCAATGGCAGTGGAGAAACCCAATGAAGTCTTTTTTTGCACAATGAGATAGGCCCTCTGTTTAAAATGACGGGGTCAACCTGAGTTCCTTCATTTCATGTCATTCGGCGTCATTCGGGGGTTGCGTGTTGCGCTAAAACTGCAGTGGCCGGATTGATTTCATCATTCCCTTCATTGCCAGGCAATGCCAAAGAATGTTGGGTGAAAGGGTTTCCTGAAACTCTGTGCATGCATTGCAGGAGATTCTGGCAGAGACTTGGAATCCGAGTTGGATGTTGGTATCAAGCCTAGTGGTTTGATTTGAGCACTGAGAGCAAGTTTATTCACCTTTGGGATCTTCGGTCCGTTGCAGTTTTCTTTTCATTGTTCTGTGCATGCTTGCGTGAACTCAGGCAATGTTCACAATGGCTTCCGGAGCTGTGGTGCTTGCAAGCGTTTTTGCCAGGCACCTTGGCCGCAAAGGAGAAAACTGTGCCCCTTTGGATATTCTTTTCCAAATCTGGGGGGAGTATGCAGAGTACCTACTGCTGTTAGTAATGCCTACTAGTTAATGCAATAAGATACCACAAGCGAACGGGAACCTGCGCGTGACTTGCACGTACCAGGATGCTATTCCAAATGCCATGCAAACTGCCAGGCGACCATCCCCCACTCCTCTGGGTCTCCAGCAACCTTTGACAGCTGATGACCAGCAAGTGTGAAGATGTGTGCCGTAGATTGCCGTAGTAAATAGACATTTAAAGTAAGGGTAATTACAACCAGGACAGTGTATATAACTCAACGAAGCAAGAGTGGCAGGAGTCAATCGCGAAGAGTGCAGTGCCAGGAATAGACTTGACCTGTCACAGCTGCGGCGTCAGATGATGAAATAGGTCAGAAGCTCCCATTGACTCCTGCTGGCAACCACAAGGGTTGGCCTTTAAATCTTGACTTGGAGCAAAATGGATCAAACATTCCAAACTTTTGAAGCTTCAAGGCAACAGACTGTTTCGATTGTTCCAATAGACAAAAAAGGGGTACCTGGCAACGCGGCTGCATTCAAAAACATACAGGATGAGTATGAATATGATGCTCCCCCCTTTGCGATACAAAGTGTTCTTTTTCCCCGAAAGAGCCAAACAGCGATGTTTTTTTTGGGTACTTCTGTCGAATAGATATTTAAAGTTCTGTTCTTAATTCTTATCTCCTATTCCCATTCGGTTTTAGGATCGCGGTTGTGACCTCGATTATTACCTTTATAAAGCGAGATTGGGAAAATGCCATAAACTTGTCAATTTTCTGGAGATCAAGATTTATGATATATAGTTTGCGCGGGGTATGACAGGCGCCTGGAAAGGCGGGAAGGGAAATTGTGCGGGTCAGGAGTATGGTAGCTGGGACGCAGGGTGAAGAACATGGGCCTAGGTGGCCCAACCTAAGCCGACTGGGGGCAAACTCGGCTGTCCTTGGCCTCAAGTTCGGCCGAACACAAGCCGACTTGGGCCCAACTGGGCTAAACTTGAGCCCAACTTGGACCGCTTGGGTCCAACTTGGGCTCAGCAACATGGCGCAACTTGGGCGCGCTTGGGCACAAGTGGGTCTAACATGACGTAACTTGAGCCCGTGGAGCAGCCATAGCCCAGCATCGAAGCAAAAAAACCAGAAAGAGCGGTAAACATGCGGGTTTTCAGCGTGCCGTTTTGAGTCCAGGCTGCACCTTGCCCCCAAACAAGCCCAACATCGGCCCAATTTGGGCCCAACTTGCGTCATGTTCACCCCAATGTATATACCTGCAAGGATTGCCTGTTTGGACATGTGCCCTGTGCATTGTCCTTTCAAC